CCGATTTGAGGTAAATAGTACACTAAAGTCCCTATATATCCTTTGATTTGCACGAAATTTGGCATATCGTACTGAATTAAGTCTAGAACGATGTGTGTTAAATTTGTTGAAAATCGGTTCAGATTTAGATATAGCTCCTATAAATATTTTCTTCCGATTTATGGTAAATAGTGTACTAAAGTCCCTATATATCCTTCGATTTGCACGAAATTTGGCATAGCGTACTGAGTTAAGTCTAGCACCATGTGTGTTAAATTTCTTGAAAATCGGTTCAGATTTAGATATAGCTTTCATATATATTTTCTCCGATTTTACATATAGCTCCCAAATATAATTGTGCTCGATTTCATACAAATGGTACACCAAAGAACCCATGTCCGTTCGATTAACTTGCAATTTTTTATAGATTTCAGAATTGTATGCGAATATGTTGTTTTAAATTAGTTCAAATATCTATGTAGTCCACACATTTAATTCCGTCATTCCTTCAGGATATTGTACATATGAGCATCTCTTTTATTTACCCAAAGTGGTCCCGTCCGTCTTTACTACTTTCCTTACTGTTTTTTTTGTAAGTGTTATTATATAAAGTCTTTTAGAACAGCCACTGAAATGAAGCCCCGTTTCGTTTGATGTGAATTCCTAGTAGATAGAACAACCCCTCAAATCTTTCCAAACCCTTTTTAAATTTATATAAGGCTTGTAGAAGATCTCCTGCCCCCATATTACCTTTAAAAGGGTTTCTATGTATATATAAGTCCTGCTTAGTGAGCTCCAGAATATAAAGGATATTTTTTAGGAAGTTCATCTATGAAATATATTTCCAGAGGTATGATCTAAGCTCTAAAGGGATTTTTGTCTGGAAAATAACTACTAGGTGTTTTGTCTATAAAAGTGCATTACAAGATATTTTACATTTATTGGAAAGTTTTCTCTCCACATAATTGGGGAGGCTATCTTTAAAGGGGGTATTTGAAATGTACTCATTCTGTTTTACGTCGTATCATATATCGACTCTTTTTTGAAAAAAAAAAATGCGAAAGAAGTTTTTTATGAACATTTTTGTAACTCACATTTCTATCAATCTTTCTAAATTTTATTCAATTTATGTACAAAATTTTCCTGTTTACCCCAAAAAACCCCTAAACCACAAATGGTGATTGTTGATAAAAAAAGGAAAACTATGTCCGGTGATACACGGTGAAATATAATGCTGGTGATAAGCTTAATATTTCAGGTGAAATTGAGGTGGACGTTACCATAATTTAAATGGGATTGTTTCTCTGGTCACAATCCCTGTTGGTAATAAAATCCATTCTGAGATTGCATCACATCATCGTCGGGCAACATGGCTTGACTTGTTGGTTGGCTGGTTGGTTAGTTAGTTGGTCATAAAGGTGCGTGTGGCTATATTACATATCGTTGTTGTCGTTGGCAAAGGTTTTAAGTTGTAATCTCTAAGTACCCACATTTTTTACTTTTTTGGCATATTAACTAATTTTCATATAAACACGAGTAACCCCTGCTCCGACTTCTTTTTTTACTTCATCAACTTTAAATGGCCTAAGATTTGTTTTCTCTTAAAGGAGGGGGAGTCAGTGGGTTAAGCAGTAAGGGCTAGGGGTCTAAGTAAGTAATTAATTCATAATTTTAATTAGTCCAACCAACATTATTACATTTCATATTTAATTTAAGCCATTTATTGTTGGGCTTGTTAAGATTTGTTTTTTTTTTCGTGTACGTGCCTAAATATATTAAATTAATTTTTATATGTCCTGTTTCATTTTTTGGCTAAGAGGTTTTTATTTCATTTAGTTGGCATTTTTTTTTTGTGTTCGTTAGTGTTTTTTTATGATTTTGGATAACAAATCTGTGCTATTTGGGTGCCTTTTTGTAACTATGCGGTATTTCTTCTTTATGTTGCTTTTTATTTAATCAGGGAGTGTTTTGCTTATATTTTGTAAAATGAGCTCAGTTTTTGTTTTTTATTTTATGAGCTCAAAGGATTTTTTTTGGTATGCCAAAGGTTTGGGGGGGCTTTCATTTCCAGTTAAAGTGCATGGCTTGGCGCAGAATGGAGGAAGTTTTATTGTAATTAACACAAAATTTATTACATCCCTTTTATGCGTTTCTTCCGGTTGTGAGGAAATGTATGAGTGTGTGTGTGTTAGTGCGTCAGTAGGCATTGAATTAGTAGAAGGATAATGTTAAATTCTTTTGTGTTGATTACACTTCATTAGAAAAAAAATTATTACGACAATATATAAACGGCGAAAGAAAGTCTTTTACCCAAAATATTTTCTTATAGACTGAGGACCTTTTCTATACATAGAATACCCTCTCCCATGAGACCTTCTCACCTATACATAAAGGACCTTTTAACATTTTCTTAACAAAAAATGCATGCATTAAAATCAGATGGGTCTCTAAATAAAAATTGCAAATGGCCTATAAATTGTCTTTAAAAATTGAAAATAGCCTATGTATATTCTTTAAAATTCTTTAAAAAATTCACACCTATAGCTTTAAGAAATCCAAAATCCTAAATCTAAAAATATTCTTTAAAAAAATCCACACCTATAAATGTGGGGTGTTTATAATAATATTCATTCACAAAATCTACGCCTATACCTGTGATGAGACTCCATAATTATTCTTTCAAAAATCCACGCCTATAGCTGTGAAGGGTATCTAAAAATATTCTTTCAAAAATCCACGCCTATAGCTGTGAAGGGTATCTAAAAATATTCTTTCAAAAATCCACGCCTATAGCTGTGAAGGGTATGTAAAAATATTGTTTAAAAAATCCACACCTATAGCTGTGAAGGGTATCTAAAATATTCTTTCAAAAATCCACGCCTATAGCTGTGAAGGGTATCTAAAAATATTCTTTAAAAAATCCACGCCTATAGCTGTGAAGGGTATCTAAAAATATTCTTTAAAAAATCCACGCCTATAGCTGTGAAGGGTATCTAAAAATATTCTTTAAAAAATCCACGCCTATAGCTGTGAAGGGTATTTAAAAATATTCTTTAAAAAATCCACGCCTATAGCTGTGAAGGGTATCTAAAAATATTTTTTAAAAAATCCACGCCTATAACTGTGATGGGTCTCTAAAAATATTTTTTAAAAAATCCACGCCTATAGCTGTGAAGGGTATCTAAAAATATTCTTTAAAAAATCCACGCCTATAGCTGTGAAGGGTATTTAAAAATATTCTTTAAAAAATCCACGCCTATAGCTGTGAAGGGTATCTAAAAATATTCTTTAAAAAATCCACGCCTATAACTGTGATGGGTCTCTAAAAATATTTTTTAAAAAATCCACGCCTATAGCTGTGAAGGGTATCTAAAAATATTCTTTAAAAAATCCACGCCTATAACTGTGATGGGTCTCTAAAAATATTTTTTAAAAAATCCACGCCTATAGCTGTGAAGGGATCCAGGGTGCTATCTTAAAAATATTCTTTAAAAAATCCACGCCTATAGCTGTGATGGGTCTCTAAAAATATTTTTTAAAAAATCCACGCCTATAGCTGTGAAGGGTATGTAAAAATATTGTTTAAAAAATCCACACCTATAACTGTGATAGATCTCTAAAAATATTCTTTAAAAAATCCACACCTATAGCTGTGATAGATCTCTAAAAATATTCTTAAAAAATCTATGTCTCTACCATCGATAGTTCTCCAAAAATATTCATTAAAAAATTCAAGCGAATAGCTTCTAAGGCTATACGGTCATTTCCTCTGTGGTTAGATGATTTTCTATAAGAGAAAGGGCCTCTCTTCTACGAATAATCACTCAGTAACAGAGAAGACCTCGCATTAATATTAGAGTGTCTAACCTCTATAGAAGACTTCGCCTCTGTAGATAGAGAGCCTATCCATAGAGTGTATCTATAGATACACGATCACTTCTCTATTGAAAGAAGACCTCGACTTTGTATATAGAGGACTTCTCCTTTATAAATAGATGGTCCCTATTCTTTAAAAAAATAAGTCCTATTTTCTGTAGAGAAACGCATTCATTTCACCTTTCAATAAAATGAGGACCTTTATAAATAGAGGATATCTTCTTTGTAGATATGGAATTGTACTACATGGGTAAAGGACATATATGCCAAATTAAAACTCTTTGATTGATTAAATGAGACTAAGGCGCTAGTCAGTACCCCTTGCATGCGGGTTATACAAAAACATAGAACTACTTTTTTACAGCAAAATTTAATAATCCGAAATATAAATTTACAGAAAAATTGTACCTTCAAAATACATCACAGAAAATAACTGAGTTGATCCAAAATTATTTTTTGTTTTCAAAATTAAATCCAAGTTCGGTCTACTCCTGCTGGTATCTCCAACCAAAATGGTTACAATTCTACTGCATTTACTTTTTCGTAGATCTTCTCCACAGAGTATCATATTTTTGAAAATTTTGAATTTCTATGGAGCTTTTATCAATAATATATGCATAAAACGAGGTCAGTCGGATCACCCATACATCTACAGAATTCGAATGTTTTTGAATTTATCGCGAATGATAAAGTTACAATGAATGAGCAAGCATTGGCAATCTCTCGCAAAATTTGGCATTGTACGAAAAATTCACGAACGATAAATTTTCGTTCGTTCGCGAGCATTTCGTGCTGAACGATCGTTGTTGTGAGCTCTCACTCTCGTATGTTATGTATGTGCGAACATTCTTTGGCGAATGCTCGTTTGGTAAAGAATTTATCGCCATAAATTCATTCGTAAAATGCGCACAAAACGAAAAGAATGTATTATAATTCATTCGCGAGCGAATTTTTGCGCACCCTGTATAGGATACAATTCAAGGAGTGAATATACCCTTCTCTAATCAATAATCGGTGTCTCTCGAATTATTAAAAAAATTTAATGAATATATCTCATTCATCTAATTTGCCAAATAATTACCAATCGATTTCATTCATCTGTATTTATCCCTTGTTTTGTCTTATTTCCATTCATCTCATTACAGTTGTTATGCATAAGGAAAAGGAGGAGAATGGTGGCAATTCAGTTTTACCTCATATACACGCACACGATGGCTATCGGACACGAGAGTTGGGTGCCTTCGAGCATGGTCTATTAGATGGTGATATGTTCCTGCAGGTAAGTTGGAAAAGAAAAAAACCCACACACTCACAGATACATAAAAATAAATCAAAGATATTTTTCCTCAGATAGATCTCCTTGATTTGATATTTGTGATTAGTTGCCAAGCATTTGACAAATCGTAAAGAGAACATAATATAATATTTCATGCTAATCAAACCAAAAACAAGAGGCCTAAAGCTTGAAGTTCGAAAAAAAAACAACAGACAGTAGCTGTATGTGTTTAATAATTAAATTGATGTGTTAATTAATTATTTAATTAATAATGAAAGTGAGGCGGTATGGTACGAGCTACGAGAGACATATAGATATTCTAACATTTATTTCTTTCGTCTTCATCATTTGTTTCGGGGATTTTTTGATTGAGTTAATGAATGTCTGCAAGTTTACGCAGAGCATATATAACCGAATGACTGATTATGAATAGAAATTATTAATGTCAATGCCAAAAATAGTAGCAACAACAATAACAACTTCATTTACATTTGATGAAGACAAATTATGTGTGGTTGTTTTTGAGATGGGACCAACCCACAAACAATTGATTAGGGGGGTTTATTTTAGAGCAGGTGAGACAGGGAAAGGTTTGAGGTAAATATGAAAATTGGGTTTGGGCTTTTTCGCCATCTAAGTTATCAATCATTGGAAGTTTTTGGTGGGCATAGAGGGTGAGGGAAGGCTTATATAAGAAAAAGTAGGCTAGAAGGCTGCCATTGGATAGATTTTCTACCGATGGAATAACTTCTATCAATAAAATATACTCCATGAAGGCTATACATACGGGCATAGAGGATCGACGAGTTTCAGATAGAAGACCTTTTAAGGACAAGAATTATTACTATGGATGTCAGACCGAATATTATTCACTATATATTAATATAAGAACGTATGTGGTCAGAAAAGACTTCATATAAAAGTAGGACCTTATAACCTCCATATAAGGACAACTTTATATGGACAGAAAATGTTTTTAAAATTCTGTTTCTGGATGAAGATATTTTTTCTATGGTTAAAATAAATTATGTGTAAAAATACCTTCTATGGATGGAAATCCTCCTATGAATACAATTTTGAGGATAGAATGTAATAAAAAGACGTCTTCTTGGAGCTATGTCCTTCAGCAAATCATCTATATTCGAATAATTTTTATTCTATTATAAAATTAATTTCCTTCTTGTTTCCATAATAGACTGAATTCTGGCTTCTATAGAAGAAGGCCAAATGTTCGATAGTATAAGACTGCCTACCCAACAAGAAGATCCTTTGGCCTTTTATAAAATAAAAACATTAGGTATATAAGAAAATCTTCTAGTTCTCCTATAGATGTAGACTACATGGTCCTCTATAGAACAGCATTACAGGGTCTCCTTTAAAATAATATATTCATGTTTTCCATAGGAGAAAATCAGAGACACTTTCCTTGAAGACGGACGACAGATCATCTATAGAAAAAGACCAATCAGTCATCCATATAAGAAAAATATCAGCTATTTTATAGAAGGAGACCTAAAATAGAAAATAACCAACATTGGAGAAGAGCATTTGCTCTTCTTCTTTAGTAGAGCCTCAAAAGACCTCCTCCTCTTTTACAGACTCTTGGTTCACCATGTGAGGGGACCTCATGCTTTTCTACGTAAGAAAACCTAATGATCTTCTATGAATGGAATTATGATCTTCTATGGAAAATTACTTCATGGTCTTCGATGGAAGAAGTCATTAAGGTCTTCTAAAGACCTCATGGCCATTTATGGAAGAAGACCTCTTGTATGGGAGATAACCTCAATGTCGTATTTGAAAGAAGATGGTCTTCTATTAGCCTTATAAGAAGGAAAATCCCATGATCTTCTGAAGACTTAATGGTCTTCTGAAGACTTAATGGTCTTCTGAGAAGGAATACCTCATAACCGTCTAAGGAAGAATACCGAATTGTCTTCTGCAGAAGAAGACCTCATCGTCATCTATTCGAGAATACCTGACGGTCAAAACAAAAAATAATATTTTGTCTTCTTCTTTAGAACCTCTTGGTTGATCTCAGGGTCTATCTCAAGTACCTCCTGCCCTTCTAAGGAAGAATTCCGAATTGTTTTCTGAGGAAGAAGACCTCATCGTAATCTATTGGAGAATACCTGATGGTCAACACAGAAAAAAGACTATTTTGTTTTATTTTTTTAACATCTTTTTCTTTGGTAGACCTCAGGGTCTATCTCAAGATCTTCTAAGGAAGAATATCAAGACCTTGAGGAAGAAGATCTCATCGTCATCTATTGGAGAATACCTTATGGCCAACACAGAAAAATACTATTTTGTCTTCTTCTTCTCTTTTTCATTGGTAGTGGAGAAACACTCATGGTTTTCATGACCTTTAATTGAAAAAATCTTGTGATTTTTGTAGAAGGCCTACTTATCTTTCAAGGAAGAAGACCTCATGGTTCTCTATGGAAGACATGATGTCTTCCACCCATTGGAGAAGACCTCTTGAATTACACAGAGGAAGAAAATTTGTTTTTCTTCTTCTTTATAAAGCCTCAGAAGACCTATTTTTATTTAGCAGACTTCATGGTCCTCTATGGAAGGAGACGTCATATTCTTATATTTGAACCTCAAAGGTCTTCTTTATAAAATGATCTTCTAAGGAAGAAGACCTAACGGGTTTTAATTAGAGAAGACCCAATGGTCTTATACTGAAGAAGACCTCATGATATTCCATGGAAGAAAATATCTTGGTATTCTATCGAAGGAGGTCTTCTAGTGGGGAAACTCTCATGATCTTCTATGGAAAAAGACCACATGACCTTCAACTGAAGAAGACCTGATGGTTTTCTTTTGTAGAAGACCTATTTATCTTTCAAGGAAGAAGGCCTCATGGTTCTTTATGGAAGAAGACCACATCGTCATCTATTGGAGAAGACCTCTTGGCTAGCACAGAAGAAGGAATTTCGTTTTCTTCTTCCTTATAAAGCCTCAGAATACCTCTTTTTATTTAGCAGACCTCATGGTCCTCTGTGGAAGGAGACATATCGGAGAAAGAAGACCTCAGGGTTTTCTAAGGAAGAAGACTTCGTGGTTTTCATTTAAAAATGACGCAATGGTCTTCTACTGAAGAAGATCTCATGATATTCCATGGAAGAATACCTCTTGATCTTCTATCGATCTCTTGGCCTTCAATCGAAGAAGACCTTGGGTCTACTAAAAAAGAAGACATCATGGGTTTCTAAAAAGAGATTACATGACCTTCTATGGAAGAAGACCGAAGGATCTTCCATAGATGGAGAACTCAAGACCTTCCATGATATTCTATGGAATAATTCCTCTTGATATTCCATAGAAGAAGACCTCAAGGACTTCACGTTCTTCTATGGAATAATTTCTCTTGATTTTCCATAGAAAAAGACCCCAAGGCCTTCTATGGAATAATTCCTTCTATGGAATAATTCCTCTTGATATTCTATAGAAGAAATCCTCATGATGTTCTTTAACAGGAACCTCATGGGCTTCTCTTGAAGAAGACCTCATGGGAGCTGATCTGATTGTCTGTTATGGAAGAAGACCTACACGTTTGCTGATTTTTCGTTTTATTGAATCAGAACAAAAAAACTTATGTTTTTCCGTCAATATTCAATTTTTTTTAATTTCAATTTATTAATTTCACTTCAAACCTTTTTTTCAAGTTGCATCAAACCTCACATGTTCGATGTGTTATGGAGATAATAATTTTTTGATTGTTGTTGTAGTTTTTTGCAATGATAATTCAAATAACATTTCAATTGAAATGCATGTGAGCATTCATATTGCCCTGTCATTAGAAGTGAATGCAACCCAGACCGAATGGCCAAACATACAAATGGACAAATGCACACACACACACTCAACCAAACCACACAACAACTACAAAAAATCAAATACTACTATTCATAAAAATTCCTTTAATATTTAACAACTACCGATAACGGCTTCTGCAATATTTAGATGGCGTTTTTGTGGTTGCTGTTGTTGTCGGGTTTTTACAAAACAAAAACAAAATCATATATTCACTAACAAGTTCACTTGTTAGACCTCCGACACTCTTCACAACACACACTCCCTCTCTGTCGTCCCGTCTCCCGATCCCTGGTCCCACAACGAAATCTATTCATTCATTCATTGGATGCGTGACAAAATGCCATTTTTAAAAATGATTAGACCGGTGAGTGACTGGGTGAGTGAGTGAGTAAATTGAGTATGTGTCCATGTGACGTGCAAGTACCGAACTTCGTGAAAAACCACAGCACCACTTCGAATGCATTGGGCAACAGGTAAACTTAAAAAAAATCAAAAATTAAAACTTCAAACTAGCGAGGTGATAAGAAAGGGTGTAAAGGGGAGTGGGCATCTAACCTAGACCAAGCTGCGAATGGAGTAGTGCCACAAAAATTCATACAGGCAGGCAGGACACGGAACAAGTCAACAGCAACAATGCGACAATAAAGCTAAAAATTGCATACAAAAATGCATTTCCTTTTGGCAGGTTGGCTGATTTTTTGCATAGTCCGACGGACGGGCGGGCGAGCGAGAGAGAGCATAAACAAAAAAAAAAAACGAAGAACTCACACTTGTCCTGGCCATCAGGAGTTTGGCGAGCGCAAAAAAGGATATGTCTTAGTTGTTGTTGTTGCTGCTGGTGCTGCTCTTGTTTTGTGTGTTGTGTGACGTGTCAGGACAAATATGGCCGGAAGTGCACAATTGTGCAACTCAGCAATTAGTACTAGAAAACATGAGAGGTGTTATTGACAACAACAACAACTACAAGCAAGAACAACAACAACTGCGGAAAAAAGTGCCACCGGGAACAAGAACTTCGCCTTGATACAATTTTGGCATATTTCCATCAAATCGCCAACGCTTTTTAAAAAAAGAAAAAACTTTTGCCCTAACGAAAAGGTGCATTTGTAAGACAACAACAACAAATCCTCGTTGAAAAGCTTGGACATTTGAAATGCAACAGTAACACCTTCCTCCTC